AAACATTTATATTTTTTCCCGGCGACATGTGTGTGTGATGCAGGGTCGATGTGAGGTCGATGTGAGGTCGATGTGAGGTCGATGTGAAGTCGATGTGAGATCGATTTGAGGTCGATGTGAGGTCGATGTGAGGTCGATGTGAGGTCGATGTGAGGTCGACGTGAGGTCGATGTGAGGACGATGAGAGGTCGATGAGAGGTCGATAGAAGAAACAAAGCAAAGATGTAATATAGCTTTTGAGGAAATGAAAGAAAGGCTTATAAACAGTGGTCTGGATGAGCGATCTGCCTACTCTAATTGTCTGCCTAAACTCCAGAAGGAACTGGAAAATATTTATATGGAGCGTCTCGTGTAGTTGAAACAACTGAAGAAAGATCCGGTACATAAGAAAATAATGCTGATCCTGCGTATGAGCCACTGCATATTTCGTATTCGCGTGTTTTAGCCATTTTGATTTGTACCCGACCGACCCATGTAAAATGAGAAGAAAAGACAGAAAAAGCAATTTATTGAATGACTAGAAGTTTACATAGTGCGTGCATCTTAATACTGGTATGTTTTACGTGCTAATACTGTTCAAATACATGACTTCAATCCTAGCTATGAATCGAGTCTAATCATCATCATTCTCTTCATCATCATCATTCTCCTCATCACAATTGTAACCCTTTAAAAGTCTTTTTATAAGAAATTTCCTCTTATCAACAGCTGCTTCAATGGCTTCCTCTGGGTCAAAATAATCGTTTTCCGCAAGCGCATCTTTAATCTGCATTATTTTCTTATGTACCGGATCTTCCTTTAGTTGTTTTATCCACACGAGATGCTCCATATAAATATTTTCCAGTTCCTTCTGGAGTTTAGCCAGAATATTTGAGTAAGCTTTGTCCTTAGCAGATTGCTCATCCAGACCACTGTTTATACGGCTTTCTTTCATTTTGTCAAAAGGCATATTACTTCTTTGCTTTGTTTCTTCTATGAATGGTATCCAAGGGTCCATTATCAGTCGTCATCAAACTTTCAGACCCAGATGTTGTCGAAATGTCGTCTTGGAAATCCCTTTCTTGGCTATCCGAGTCCGTTTGAGACATGTTTCTTTGTTGTTCGCGTAGTGGACAGTGTTCTTTTTCGTGTCTACGTATGTTGTAACCGTGAAATTGTTCTCCACAAAATTCGCAGCTGATCCGCTAGCACTAGTTGTCTAAAAAATGACTTGTTATTGAGCAACACTTTACCTTTATGCCTGCTCATGAGTTGGCTCATCGACCCCACATCGTCCCCTCATCGACTCTACGTCGACCCCTCATCAACCCTACATCGACCCCTCATCCACCCCACATCGACCTCTCATCGATTGATACGATTACCGTCGTCTTACTGAGGTCAGTGTCAAGTCGTTGATATGTTTCCGTATCCTTCAGTAGGGCGTTTGCTTTATCGATATAATCATGAAACATGAAACTAAAACAACTGAAAGATAAAGACAAACCAGAAGAAATCAACTACAAGAGAATTCGACCAAACGATGCATCCCCTGCTAAATTTACGAACTACCAAAAATACATAAAGAAAACATTCCTCTACACCTATTGTCTCCCTCCCAGGATCACCTACATACGAGATATCAAAATATCTTGCTATGATCCTTCATTCTCTTGTCAAAACAGCACCTCATACAATTAACAACGCTAATACATTCCTTACTAATATTAAAGATCTTAAACTTGAACCAGACGAAATCATGATATCTCTTGACGTCGTTTCTCTTCACATCCATACCACTAGACACAGCAAAACGCATTACGAACGAACTGCTTACTTGCGACGAAACGTGGCAAACCAGAACCAAACTAGACAAACACGACATTCTTGAACTACTTGATCTGTGTCTTTCCACTGAATTCTCATTCCAAAACTCTTACTACCGACAAATTTCGGGTACACCTATGGGATCTCCTCTTTCTAGTTTCCTTGCTGAAGCAGTCATGCATGATCTAGAAAAAAGATGCGTTACTAACAATAACGATATTAAAACATGGAACAGATACGTAGACGACGTCCTTGCTACAGTTCAGAAAGACAAGACTGACGACATTTTACATACTATAAACAATACCACAGAAAATATAAAATTCACGAAAGAAGAAGAAGATAACAACCAACTTGCTTTCCTTCACATTTTGTTGACAACAACTAATGACGCACGATTAACACACAGGTCTACCGTAGGAAAACGCACACGGACCAAATACTGAATTTTAACAGCAACCACCCTACTCAACACAAAATAAGCTGTATAAGAAGCTCATTCAACCGAATAGATACGTACTGTACGACAGAAGAAGCTAAACAAACAAACAGATCGCTAATATCTATACTCGACTTCCATGAAAAACAACTACCCTATAGGAACTTCGTTAACAAAATACTAACAAAAATACGTAACAAACAACAGAGTAACATACCTGACGAACAACCTGAACAATCAAGGACAAGAATAACTCTACCTTACATAAACAGTACATCAGAAATGACCGCCAGATTATTGCGACTTTTCAAAATTGACGTAGCACACAAACCGGCACATAAACTTATGTCATATTTCACAAAACACAAAGACAAAACAGCATCAAAACAAACAAAAAATGCTATATACATGATACCTTGTATAGACTAGCCACAACGATACATAGGTCAAATACGCCATAAAACGATACGATTATAAATCACCACCAGCAGCACACACATATACGACAACTGTCATACCTTCAACTGGACAGAAACCGAACTATTAGGACAAGCACAAACAAAATCCGCACGTGAATTTAAAGAGGCATGGTACAGTATAGACAGTAATACAATTCACCGATACATTAAAATTCCCACTATTTACTTATAACTTAAAACAACACGTAAATGTCCTACTAATAACAACGATACTATGACTGATACTAACTTCCAAATAACACTTCCTTCAACATCCGCAACACAACAATCCAACCATTCCAATGACGCCATCTCTAGCAGCGAAATTCACTCAACAATGACAACGCATTCTTCGACCAGCATTGAGATCAGATCAACCGCGGAACAGCCAATTTTTAAATTTTTTTTTAAAATTAATATTTAATTTCAGGAAGCTTTGGCTCACAAAGTGATTTACAGAAAGGTCCTGAACTAAATAAACTATTTTAGACAATAAACTATTTTATATTTTATTAGACGGTCTCGACGAATAGAAGAACGTAGCAACACCGCAAAACTTTAATTAAATAATGTACATATGTAATTTTAATCTCAGTATTCTGAAGAAAGCTCGAAGTACCGAGTCGAAAGCTCAATAAAAGTATATTTCAATCCGGAGAACTTTAATTAATTATACAGGGTGCGTATAAAAAAGGGCACAGATTTGAAATTGTTCTTAAATTCGCAAAACAGCTATTAGTATCCAGTTTTTGATGTATATAGCTTCTCTGGGTACTTATAATGTAGAAAAATGGAAAAAATTTCTCGAACTCAAATTTTGTGAACCAGGGGGGTGTGTCTTTTCCAACAAACTAAAAATGGCTTGCGCACGAAATTTGAAAGCTTTCATCATATTTTGAGTTGACAGATGGAACATCTGTTGGGTTTTTAATTACTGTACAAAATTTCAGGCAATTTGCCTTAGTTTAAGCGTCTTTAACTATTCATTTTTCTCTAAAATATTAGCCATTCGCATGCTTAATTAATGCCTTTATCTAATTTGCATATTGCTGAGATATGCAAATTAGGCAAAGGCATTGATCAGCATGCAAATGGTGGTTTTTTTAAAAAAATGTAAGTTTGCGTGAAAGGTTAAAGGGCGTAAATTGAAGCAAATTGTCTGAAAATTTGCACAGTGATTAAACACCCAACAAACGTTCCATCAGTTAACTTAAAATATGATTAACGCTTTTAAATTTCGTGCGCAAGCCATTTTTAATTTTTTCGGAAAAGACACACCTCCCTGGTTCACTCTCCTCCTCAGAGTGTGAATTATAAAGGATTTGTAGGGATAGTAGAGGATATTTAGTGGAAAAGTGACGGTGGGGTGAGATCGAAACCGATATTGAAGTTGTATCAACAAAACTTGTCACAACCTCAAATCTGAAATACGTCATCTGTTGTTGCTACAGGCCACCCAACGCGGATCAATCTTGGTTGGTAAAATTTAACTGGTTCCTAGCAGAAGTTTCTTCACGCTACACCAACGTAATAATTTGTGGAGACTTCAATTTTCCCAAACTCCACTGGCAATATCCATCTTCCACTTCATCCAGTGATGACAATATATTCACGGAACAATTGAATGATTTCTTCCTAACTCAGGTCAACACCTTGCCCAGACGAGGAAACAACATGTTAGACCTAATTATCACTAGCCTACCAGATCAGATTGAGAACATTACAAAACTTAAGCCAATGGACAGTGATTTGTTTACCGATCACGACACAATCCTTCTCAATTTGAAAACGTCCATAAAAGCCGCTCCTAAACTGAACAGAACTGTTTTTATTACCGTAGAGTGAATATGGACGGACTACGTTCAGCCTTAGCGATGACTGATTTTTCGAACATAATCGATTCAGGAGAAAATGTTAATGACTGTTGGGAACAATGGAAAAACACATTCCTTAGCGTGGTGAGAAATTACATCCCAACCAAGAAGATCAAAGGTAGAAATTCTCCCCCTTGGATTTATGGAAGCATTATTCACGAGATAAGGAAGAAAGAAGCGGTGCGACGGAAGTTAAGAGCATCTCCATCTGACGTCCTTCTTGCTAAATTTAAAGAGCTAGGAATCAAAGTTAAAAAAATGGTCCGTGAAAGTCGTGAAAGATTTTACAATTCTCTTGATGGCATCTTCCAAACAAACCCAAAGCGATTTTGGTCGATCTTTAAGCTGAACAATAAACAATCAAGCGTTCCAGATATTATGTCAATGAGAAATGCCGCTGGACCTGAATCATCACAAACTTAGGATGTGTCTACTCCTACTGCTATTGCCAATCTATTCAATCGCTACTTCACATCAGTGCTCAACACTGATCATGGTAACCTAGAAGAACGTTCCTCTCCACCATTATTTCCACCTTCAACGTCAGGACAGTCAGACCTCCAACTAACAATAGAAGAAGTCGCAAGAACACTCTTAGCGCTGGACACCACCAAGGCTACTGGACCTGACGGAATACCATTTCGACTTTTAAAAGAAACTGCGTGGCAGATTGCACCTTCCCTCACCCAAATATTCAACGAAATACCTGATGAATGGAAATTAGCAAACATTGTTGCGGTACACGAAAAAGGCCAAGTAGAGAACTATAGACCTATCTCCCTTTTTTCCATAATATCGAAAGTACTAGAACGTTGTGTCCTGGAAATATACGTGATCATTTGCTGCAATTAGTCAATTATATCCAACATTGTTTTATTCTCGGAAAGTCGTGTACAACTCAGCTATTAGAGATTCTTGACTATATTGGTTCACTTCTGGACGGTGACAAGCAAACTGATGTAATCTACATGGACATGTCCGAGGCATTCGACAAAGTCCACCATAAATATCTGATAAGCAAATTAAGTAACGTCTATGGCATCTCTGGTAAACTCCTTCGCTTGTTTGAGTCGTATCTGATAAATCGCAAGCAACGTGTGACTGTGTTAGGAGCTACATCCTCCGCGAGACCTGTCCTGTCAGGAGTTCCACAGGGTTCAATATTAGGTCCCATACTGTTTCTGTTGTACGCGAGCGACCTGCCGGATGCAGTAGAGCACACCAAGATCGCCTCCTTCGCCGATGACACGAAATTATTTAAGAAAGTTGATTCAACTTCCAACTTTGGAGAAGTGGTCAACATCTTCTGGCCTTGTCTTCAACCAAGACAAATGCAAATGTCAGCGTGTAACAAGGAAAAAGAATCCTATCAAATACGAATATAAGATCAATAACAAGTCCCTGGTGGTCACCGAAAAAGTTTAAGATTTAGGTATATGGATTACCGACACCGTTAAACTGGTCTTACCATACCCTCGATCGCTGTGCGAAGGCAAACAAAATGCTTGGTTTTCTGCGTAGGGTTGCAACGGCAATTACAAATGTTAAGATACGCCGCACACTGTACCTATCAATTGTTCGCTCAACGCTAGGTTACGCCACTCAAGTCTGGTCACCACAATCGATCGACTTAATTACGAGGACAGAACGTATCCAACGACGAGCTACAAAGTTCATTTTGAAATTACCATACGTGAGCGGAGAAACGTACAAAGACAGACTGATCTCCTTAAACTTACTACCAATCACCTACTGGCACGAGTTGCTTGACATTATGTTTTTCTTTAAAGCTGTAAACAACATTATAACTGTCTCGAACGAAATCCTTCCGCCGCCAATTATCCCATCAAGGCTCACTAGAACCTCGGTTGACACCAACCTGCTCTCCTTCCGTCCTCGCATATGCAAGACGCTGACATACCAACGCTCTTTCTTCATCAGAGTAATAAGAACTTGCAACTTTCTGAAAAAAAGCAAAAAGATCTCTCACTGGTACGATTTAGAACAATGTTGCTGGACTACTACCACAACGCTGCCAAGACATCCTATGATGTAGACGATGCCAGAACGTGGAGAACAGTCTGCTTAAAATGCAACACATCACGAAACTCGTGCAACCATTAGCGTTGCTATTAGTACATGTACACTATCAATTATCAGTTTCAATTTATATATTAGTTGTGTGTTTTCTGTATCCAGGGGCCCACATTAATTGGTTTTAAGCTGTTGTGGTGACCCCGCCTTTTTGTTGTTGTCACCTTTTTGTCCAACCTTGAAACGTGGAGGCTGGGCGTATTTGCTGCGTTTCGATATGTTTTGTCTAGGACTATGCCAAGTCATGTTGGGTTTATAAAAATCTAGTCTCCTACGCATACCTACTTAGCTGGCTGAGCCCCCACGTAAGGTATGCTTACTTTGGCCAAGAATTCCTTTCCTCAAAATTAGCCAATCACAGCTTTACCCACGAAAATTGTGGGGCTTGACCTTTGTAACTGTGCTTTGACCTTGAGGCTTGGGTCGTCAAAAGTTTCAAAACAGTTAATCTTGAACATTTCATATCTTCATTTGTACGTATTCATATCTTAAACCGATTATCTGCGAGTGCTCAGAGATATATTTGTCATACATCAGTACCAGTCTACAAATTTACAATATGGAACAATTGTAAAATCTGTTAGAATTTGTCGAGCTATTGTTTTGAACAGACAGTGTAGTAAATCGAACAATATCACCTAAGGGAAGCCTCACATATCGATTTTTTCCACGAGAAACGTCATATGTTCGTTTGGGGGTGGGGGGGTTGCAGCTGTGACGTTTCTCTGTAAATATCATGGACAAAATTCGATAGTTTTTCGAAAGCCTTAACATTTCGAAATCATCTTTGCAGAGTATAAAAAAGAAAACAACTTGATACAAACACCAGTCTTATAGGCCTACATTCGTAATACCATACCTGTTCTACACGTATACTTATTACATTTATATTATTACGCCTTCCTTGCATTGAAAACACTTAAATTTCAAGAAAACCGGGCTAAAATTATCAATATTTCATGCAAAAAAAAGTTGTTTTGAGAAACGTTGGAAATTTTGAAGTTCATATATGTTAATATATATTAATAAAAAAAAATATGTCAGCAGAAGATGACATATTCCTCGCGGAAGCGCCGCCAATAGCCGACCGTAGAAAATTACCTTATGTGTCCTATATTGAACAAAATATCGATAACTATGTGTGACGTTTCTAAGGGGGGTGGGGGGGGGGGTCTTCAGAGAAACGAACATATGACGTTTCTCATGGACGAAATCGATATGTGAGGCTTCCCTAAAATATTTCGCGACGTTTTGATTACTTTAATACAAGCGTTTGCAGGTGTTACTGTAACACGGGTAATATACTGGACAAAGACGTCAAGACAAAGTTATAAAGTTACAGTGTACATTACTGTGGGTGTAGATAATAGATTTAATATAAATACTAATTGAAGATTACAGAATTCAGTCTATATAAAATACTGAATTGATTCATTGCATATTTCGGTTTCTAAGTTTGTATATGACTAGCCATTTTATAAGTACTAGATAAAACATTCGCATCCGATCTGTATCTGATATACAAACTCTCGCAGAAATCGTACTTTAAAAATGACCCACCTTTTGAGTTCATTGCCATTGGCGAAGTAATTTTAAAAATAAGCATTGTCTAAGCCGAGAAATTCAAAGTTAAAGTTTATGTAAATCAACATGAATCTGTATCACATATACAGATACGACACGCTTATGATTTTTCTTTGTGTTTTCTTCATGAATTATTAATGAATTTTTTAAAGTTTAATAAAATCGTAATTACACAAGTCGCTCTGATATTGAAAGTTCGGAAAGTTATAGTATATACTGAATATACATGCCGTCTGACACGCAGTCGCGTCAAGTTCGAAACAAGTATTACCAGTGAATAGTTTTATACGTTTAAGCCTTCGACTTATCGTGTACATTCGTTGGAAAAATATTCAATATTTTCTACTTCGACTGCTATTGATCAGAAAACACGATCTGTTCATATTTATGGCCATTTAAATACGTATATATTATTATTCGATTATCGCACGCTCCTTGTTTACACTTTACAGTTGACATTCAAAGTGGGCGTGTCTAGTGTATTTGAATGCTATTGGCTAATGGAATACAATGGGAAGGCGAATTGCTAGCCAAAGTAAGCAGGCCGTACGTGGCGGGCCCAAACCCGCTAAAGTAGGTCTGCATAGGAGACTAATAAAAATCAAGCTATTCTATAATGAATATAATTGTAAAATTAAACCGTCCTAGGTGCTCGGTCAAGGGTGTATGTTTTTGTTTTACTATCATGTTGAAACATAGACAGGGGCGCTGAAGTTTGCTCGTTTTCGGGTTGGACAGAAATGGTTGTGTGTACGTGTTGTTTGATTGTGTAATTATAGGCGAAGCTAAATAAATAAATAAAAAAATAAATAAATTGAACCCATGGCCCAGCGATTCCGGTGCAGCGCTCTAACCAACTGAGCTACAGAGGCCAGCTGTTGAGCTGTAACCGTAAGTTCATGTATATATAGGTGATCGGGTGTGCGGGTTGTAATAAGGTGGATAATGTTCTCGAGTGTGTATTTCCATAACCAGCGCAAGCAGAAAGAGAACCCGCTACCGTCGAATTACTAGATCGACGCTCTACCAACTTAGCTACACGGTCAGATGGATTTAAGACTGGAAATTATGAAATATATACTGTGCTGAGTGGTTATATACAGTATATTACTACCTTAAAAAATAAGCAGAAACTCGACGTTTCGAGCGAAGGCCCTTCGTCAAGAGTTAGTAGCTGGCTCTTGACGAAGGGCCTTCGCTCGAAACGTCGAGTTTCTGCCCAATTTTTAAGGTAGTAATATAACCACTCAGCACAGCATTTCTACATTGGTACTACCTACACTTGTACTGACAGTTTTAGTGAACTATATATACTGAATGTCATAAACGTACTCGTTTATATTAATTTAGCATCGAACCATACTAGTTTTGCAAGTGTTATGTTATGTTGAGTTATTGTTCACTCCGTAATATAATAAGTTGGTACTGAGCATGTGCGAACTTTAAAAAACAAAATGGCCGAAGCGCTACTATAGAATAGTATAGGGGAGCGCCATTTTTTTAAATATAAGTCAGTTCAATCGCTGTTACAAAATTTGCCTCACTATTTTTGAAAATAACAAAACATTTGTAGTAAAATAAAATAAATACCATGTCATATTATTTCCTCCTAGTACGTCCATTTCTTTACCCGTATCGCACAGATCTGGCTCCTATGAACTGTAGGCACCTATACAATGCGCCCAATTTCCGCGAAAACGGCCAGTTTCGTTCAAAATTTTACGACCCGTTTCATTTTTTGTCAAATTTGCCCCACTTTCCTCGTAAACTTCACATCATCAAGTATTCCTTCTGTTATTTTCGAAGTCATCTGATATATTTTAGACCGTTTATTTTTGCCGAGAAACGCAGTAAAAATTGACGAGATTGTCTATTTGGCGTGGGTGGGTGGGTCGTGCGTCGCGGGTCGTGCGTCGTGGGTCGTGGGTCGTGCGTCAGTAAATCGGAAAAAAATTTAAAACCGAACTATACCACTGAACTGCCAAAATTTTGCACGAATCTTTTTAGCTATGCCACATCTCTAATAACTATGGCCACATTGACAAAAATGCTGGTAGATTCGGTGGTTGATTACAGTAATTTAACTTGTAAAAGACATCGGTGACCTCCAAATTTAGGCTGTTGCGGCATATCGATATACCGATAATTATGTTTTTTTATAAATACCGATTACTCGATATTGGAATTTTTTATATCGGAATATCGATATTTTCGGTATTATCGATATCACGTTTACGTTTGTATATTTAAACATAGTCAAGCTTTTTCAAGCGCTGATTGAAGTTATTTTAGAAGGACAAAGACGATCAATGTGGTAACTCCGCGGGAAAATCCGTCATTCAGTAGAGCGCGATCTAAAACATGCTTGTTTATACGTTACGTTGGCGTACGTTGCAAGGTACGATAATATGTCATTTCGCTTAGTTATAGGTAATACGTCATTTCGCTCGTAAACAACGGTGGATTACAAATGTTTTAGAAAAACAAGAACTAACCTCATTGGACATTGTTAGTTTTCTGGTGATATAGGACGATCTTTGTTTCGAACTCGCAGTTGAACTGAATGTTTTGAAACAATTTCCCGGACAAAAATATCACACATGTTTCATCCGGTGAGGTAATCAATGCTAATAGTAAATTAAGTAATATGCATTTTCAATTTGTAAAGCGGACACATCACAGGCTACTGATCACTGGCCTCACACTTTATTGAAAATATCACGCACCCGATTAGTCAAAGCTGTTATATTGTGGCTGTTTGGCAGCATTTGAAAACAGAAAATTTTGCATAATATTAAGCAAATTTTGCATAAAATACAATCGCGAAAAATATCGATATATCGGTATTATCGGTATTTTTTTCCGGTATCGGTTTTCGTTTTTTTTTCAAATACCGCAACAGCCTACCCCCAATTTTTATTTTATAAAATTATTTGTTTTAGTATACTCAATTATTTTGACAATTTATTAAAATACCGATCTAAATGGTTTCCATTTTTTTGAAAACTGTGTCGCCCAATTTTTTTGAAAACGGTACGGCCTACTTTTACGCAAACGTGAATTACAATTGCAACTTTCATGCTTAATTTAATTTTGTCTGTTATCTGGTTATCGAATATTTAAACAGGCATATAAAGCACACACCCTCATGTAAAGTATTCAAAGTAAGCGAAGTATTCAGCAAAGTATTCAAAGTATTAAGCAAAGTATCAAGTAATCAAGTAAACCAAAGCAAAGCAAGCCACATTCCCGCACATTGGTAAGTCTATTTATTCTATAATGTACGTGTGTAAATATTGTTTATATGTAAAAGACCGTAGTATAATTGTAATGCATGTTTCTGTAGGAATTTTACAATTAGTGTGTTAAAACCCGTGTGCCGGGATGGTGAAAGGTGTAAAGTACTAAAGGCAAAATAAAAGTCAAGATTGACAAGCGTTCGAACCCTGTTTCGTACAACACAATTAACATAACACTTGCAGAACTAGTATTGTTCGATGCTGAATTAATGTAAACAAGTATGTTTATGACATTCAGTACATATTTCATAATTTTCAGTCTTAAATCCGTCCGACCGTGTAGTTCAGTTGGTAGGCGTCGATCTAGTAATTCGAAGGTCGCGGGTTCAAGACCAGCCGCGGCAGACAACATCTTTCTGCTTGCGCTGGGTATGGAAATTATATAATATACACTCTAGAACATTTTCATCTTTATATATATATATATATATATATATATATATATATATATATATATATATATATATATATATATATGCTATAGCTAGGCTTGCCACACCTGGTTGTTAGTATAGGTAATAACATGGTTTCGAGTGCAATTTGGATATAACATGCACGAGTGAGTTTTTGAAAGACCTCGAAATAGCACGAGTCCGAAGGACGAGTGCTATTTGAGGTCTTTGAAAAACTCACGAGTGCATAAGGCTATAATAATTTATTCAAATGCATGACCTAATTTACAGGTATTACTAGAATATTCTATATATATATATATATATATAATTACATACAGTACAAGGTATTGAAGAAACGAACATATATAAAGTGAAAGTGTCATTATAGTGATTTATACATCTATTTTATGGATAATATAGATCGTATTCGTAGTTTCTAAGTAAGGTTTTTTTTTTATGAAAGATTGGAAAACAATTTGCAGTGTGATTTTCGCAATGAATTTGAAATTAGCTGCAGTCGTTTTTTATTACGTATTTTCCATGGGTTTGAGGCTATTTTCTCGCTCTGTTAAGCAGAGAGAGATAAATTTAGAGAATAGGTTAATGAGAACAATGTCATTTGAGGACATTAGATGTTCTAGTAGTTTTTGTTTAGTCTGAGATGTTGTACTCAATTGGAAAAAATCTTTTAATATGCCATTTGTATTGTTTCTTAAAGTTTCATGTTTTGCATGCAAAAGCAACATGAAATTCATCTTCTACTTCGCCGGAGTTACAAAGTTTACATAGACGTTGTTCGCGTGGAATGTTTTTGTATCGCCCGTATTCAATTTCGAGTTTGTGATTACTGATTCTAAATTTTGAGAAATTTTTTCTTTGTATTGGGTTTTTTATAAGATGTAGATAGTCTTCTAGTTTATAATCTTTTTTGAATTGACAAAAGAAGGACAGTTTTGGAGATTTCGTTATTTTGTGTTTCCAAAATTCAACATATTTTTCTTTTATTCCATTAACTATGGTTTTTGTATCGATATTTCTTAGGGCAATTTCAATATTAGTTGTTTCATCATCTTGAGAATAGTAAAGTTTTAACATGTTCATAGCGTTTGAGTAAAATGATTCTTTTCCATTTTTGTACAGGTCTCTCGAAACAAATAAGGCCTGTTTTACAATTGTTGTATCAGGTAGTTCGAGGATGTGTTTTAGGTAGTTGATTATGTTTTTTTGTATTGTGATTAAAAGCGGAAATTTTCCTAGTTCTGCTCTGCAAGCTGTATTGGTAGCCTTTCTGTTTACTCCCAGATATAGCTTGCAGAACCTTAGGTGGGCTTTTTCTGTTTGTGAATTGTCCCACTTATTGTAGTCATTTTTTTGGTATGCTCCCCAAACTTCAGAGTTATATAATAGAATGGGCGAGATAACTCCATTAAAAATTTTGATAGCTGTCTTGGGTGATAGTGAACTAATGTCAAGTTGTCTGCGAATTTTGTGTAAAGCGTGTAATGCCTTTTCACTAAGTTGCTTTTGTGTGAGTTTAAATTTGCCATTTGGTTCTAATTTAAGGCCAAGATAAGTATATTCTTTAGTAATTTCAACAGTATTGTTACCAATAGAAAAATTCAGTTTTGGAATTTTAGAGTTATGTTTTTGGAAGATCATGATTTTTGTTTTTTTTCATATTTACTTCCATTAGCCATTTTTTGCACCAATTATGAAGTATATTCAAGCAGTTTTGAAGTCCTGATTTAGATCGTGATAGGATGATAAGATCATCAGCATATAAAAGGCTATTTATTTCGGTTCCATTTCATGGGAATACTAAAGGATCTGATTGTGTTTTTTCGAAAAGTTGTGGTAATTCATTAATATAAATATTAAATAATAATGGGCTTAATATACAACCTTGACGTACGCCTTTCTTATATTGGAAAAATGATGTTCTATAGTCTGATAGTTTCATGACACATTTTGATTTCGAGTACATGTTTTTAATTAGTTCGTAAAAGCGTCCTCCTATTTCGTTTTCAAGTAGTTTTAAATATAAGCCTTTATGCCAGATTGAGTCAAATGCTTTTTTAAAATCAACAAAACATGCATATATCTTTCCATTCTCACTTTGTTTTACATATTTACCATGTAATGTTTTTAGTGTGAGAATGTGGTCTGCTGTTCTGTTTCCAGAATTAAATCCTATTTGCGTAGGGTGTATTGATTTCTTTTCTTTAGTATAACATGCTAATCTAGTATTCAAAATTGAGCAGAATAATTTGCCCATACAGCTAGATACGCAGATTCCTCTGTAATTGCTGGGATCTAAAGAGTTTCCTGTGCATGTTTATCCAAATTTCACGAGAAACCATACTATTACTTATTAATAATTTACATAAAAATGTTCGAAACAATTGTAGTTTTAACTTACGCGTTTATAGCGAACATTCCACCGGCAAACTTTTCCTGGCTTTGTTATATCACATTATGCAACGCTAACAGCTTGAAAATTCCACTCAATTATGTAATTGTTGTCAGTCTTGTTTAAGGTAAATGCTTTTCCATTTAAAAATACAGATAAAAGCCATTTTTTTCACGCGAAAGCAACTTTTACTTCACTGTAGCGCGGCGCCATGTTTGTTTTGTTTTGAAGCAATCTGTGACCGTTACTTCTTTAAACTAAATTGCTTTAATTTAAACTGATTGGTTGATTTAATCATCACAATGTTTTTCACCAATCAGATCAGTTTGTTACAGATTTTTGCACTGTGATTACAGAAAATTGCACTGTGATTACAAAAAATTGCACTGTGATTACAGAAAATTGCACTGTGATTACAGAAAATTGCACTGCTGTTTGGGATTAACTGCATTGAAATCAACCAATCACAGTCGAGTAATATCTTTATGTATTTTATTAGAGCCAAAACAAGTACAGTGCTCAATGCGGATAATTCGCAGAGCTTAATATATTGTTCAAAATGAAAAAAATAAAAACAAAAAAATTAAAAAATGTTAATGTGCTGCTACTTAAGTTTCACGTATTACCGATCGTCAGACAGCAATGGATTATGGTGCACACGAGCTTTATATACCAAGCTACTGTGCTAATTACATAAAATTAATCTAAACAAAACCTATTGGAACCTGTCCGAGTGTTCAACTAAAACTGATTTAAAATTTAAAACTTAGTAAATTAATTCAAAACCTACTTAAATCCGATGCGTATAGTTGTTAAAACCTCTCGAGCAAATTATTTATGTTATCTCGTTCTTATAATTTTGTATGTAAAATTTGTTTTCAATTCATATCTACACTTGGAGATAAGTTCGTCTCGTGTGTTCAAAAGGCGTGCGTTTCGTCGTTTCAAGATGGCTAGCCTTTTACAGAGGCATAACCCGCATTTGTTGGATCCGTTGTTGTAAGCCTTTGCTGTGTCAATGCTTGGCCAACAGATTTTGTATTCTTTTCCTTCGTTCTTTAGACTTCATACATACTTTGACAATGATGTTTTGTTGCTGTAATCGATGTTGTTGAAAGAGCTCTTGTGTTGAGTAAAACGTTTTTTGAATGTTCCCTCAGTTAGACTGATGTAATTTCTCCCTTGAGGGTCGTCATTCGTGGTTATATGGGCTTTATATACGATGTTTGTGACGAGACATTTGTTTTGAAGTGGGCATTGTTCTTTTGTATTGCAGTTGCAGTTCTCGTGCGTGTCCTTGTTTCGCGGGTTAAGTGTCGTATTGTTGTGGGATTTAATTATGTTAGCCATGTTCTGGGTGCAGGAATAGCTCACTTTTATGGTGCTTTTATTGAAACTTTTGTGTAGGCGATGGTCTTTTGGGAAGTGTTTTTCAACGAAGGATAAAAATTTGTTTCCGATGTTGGTCTTAAGGTATTTGTTAAAAGGCGGGTTATACCAGATGATTTTCCGCCTTCGGTTCCTTCTGTTGGTGTTTGTGCTAGTTTCATAGGACATTCGGTGGTTAAACCCGCTAGCGTGTAACGCTTCTTCATAGCACGGTTTTGCATTGTTGAATGCTTCCTTGTTGTGGGATAGCTTGGAGATGCGGCGGTTGACAGCCTCCGGTAGTTGCCAAATGATTGGAGGTGGGTGGATTGAATGGGCACTTATATAAAGTGGACGGTCGTTGGGTTTTATGTACGGGCAGAATATATCTCTATCTAGATCGAGAGTGATGTACATATATATATATATATATATATATATATATATATATATATATATATATATATATATATATATATATATATATATATATATATATATATATACATATATATATATATATAACTACAGACAGTACCGTTTCGGCCTAATGGGCCTCATCAGTGTAGTGCTGATGAGCAGGATGAAAGTAACTCTTATTTATAGTTACCTTTGATGCCTCACGATTGTGGGATATCAAAACCATGCCAGAGCGCTCAAACTGCAAGCAGTGAACGTGCGCAATGCGTAAGCGGCATGGCTCATCCTGTAGAGCGCTCAATATGACCTAAAGGCCATAGAGCGATATCTAACTACAGACGGTACCGTTTCGGCCTAATGGGCCTCATCAGTGTAGTGCTGATGAGCAGGATGAAAGTAACTCTTATTTATAGTTACCTTTGATGCCTCGCGATTGTGGGACATCAAAACCATGCCAGAGCGCTCAAACTGCAAGCAGTGAGCGTGCGCAATGCGTAAGCGGCATGGCTCATCCTGTAGAGCGCTCAATATGACCTAAAGGCCATAGAGCGATATCTAACTACAGACGGTACCGTTTCGGCCTTATGGGCCTCATCAGTGTAGTGCTGATGAGCAGGATGAAAGTAACTCTTATATATATATATATATATATATATATTTATATATATATATATATATATATAATTTCATAAAGTAATTTCCCGTTTTTTAAGAATAAAGAGCGCTCAATACAAGACATATATATATTTATACCGGGTGTCCCCCAACAAACTTGCGCTGTTTGATTTAATGTAACATAAAAACTACAAAAGCTATTGCGCGTATGCAATATATGGTATGCAGAAAGGCCTAACTTAGATTTTCATATACAGCATTTGAATACCCGTGCAATATTTGCTGAGCTATTGATGTTTTAAATCGAATAAGCATTATTATTTGACAATGTTAAAAATTTGCATAAAATTGCCTATCAAATATTATTTGGTTAAACTTGATTATTTAGTTTTATTGTGGCCAAAAGAACGAATGAAAAACATAATTGTTGGATAAACATTGATTCATTCATCATGTCCTCTTGCACGTATATACAATGACTCAATGTCGTGCACGGGAAACCATAAAACCCAAACAGCAAACTCTATGATCTTTTGTTAATCGAGGCATATTCGAAAGGCGAACGACGACCAACCTTGTAATACGAACTCTCAAAGGACGTCAAATATGCTTTCGAACGTTTTTAAATGTTTCATGCTTATTTCGCTTCCCAAGAAACACGAAAGGTTAACTTATAATAGGACATTCCTCGAAATGAAAGTTGAGTTGAAATGCTGAAATTGAAATTGTTAATTTTTGTGGAAAATGGCAATTTGTTTTCATATAAATTTGATCAGCCATGTTTCTCGATTTTTTTACTCATTTTTAAAGCGTGCGCCACATTCAAACGTTTGTATCTCACGTAATATTACATGAAATTTTTAGGTCTGTATATGAATATCTAAGATAGCCTTTCCTTAATACAATAAAACGTATTTGTGTGTAATAGATTTCAGCATAGTTTTTACCTTACATGAAATCAAACACCGCAAGTTTTTTTGGGACACCCGCTAGGTAAATATATATATATATATATATATATATATATATATATATATATATATATATATATATATATATATATATATATATATATATATATATATATATAATTACTATTCTTACTTAAAATGTTTTTTTGTCTCTACTCCGAGTTTCACGCATCACTGCGATCATCAGGAGACATTGTTCTCAAATACCGTTTGATTTTCGTTGTTTGATGGCGTGACTGCGCGCGCGCGCGAGGATTGTTGATGTTGCTTACACGCGCGCAGACTACATTTCCCGCTAAAAATTGTTTCTGATGCACGCACTTCGAGAAGATTTCCGATCTTTTGTTGAGTAGATTTTTGTCGCGAGATTTTAAAATCAGCATCCGATATCTGCATAAAAATAAAAAAAAAATAATGACGGCGCTGAAATATATGATCTTGTCGGCTTATATATGCTAAATGTCCTTACCAATGAGTTTGGGAAAGAACGTGTTGGTTTGTATCGGGATGACGGACTTGTTTTAATCAAAGGAAAGAGCGGGCGCATTGCTGATAAGGTACGGAAAAAGTTGCATACATTATTCGAACAGTTCAACTTGAAAATTACGGCCCAAGTAAACCACCAATCTGTCAACTTTCTAGACGTCACATTCAACCTTGCAGAGGAACGCTACCAACCATATAGAAAACCCAATAATGAACCCATTTACATTGACAGTCGCTCGAACCACCCACCAACCATAATTAAACAACTACCTAAACCAATAAATCACCGTATATCAAATTTATCCTCTGATCAGCAAACCTTCAATTCATCAGCACCAACCTACGAGAATGCATTACGTCGTAGTAATTATGATTTTAATTTACAATACAATGCCACGCCTTCAAGTAATA